TTTATTGTATGACACGTGTCAATACACTATTAGTGAATAAGAGTGGATGTCTAGATAACAAAACTGTTATATAGATTAATAATTTGATAACTTCCAATTTGCCTTTCCTTAAATTTCTCGCAGTTTGTTTTCTACAAATATAAAAATATTGACAACTTGATAAAGCACGGGTCTAATGAGCAGACGTAATCACGTAATGTATATATATCATGCATCTCTCAAAAATTAATTTCTTTCATAACCAATTAAAATAACATCACCATCATATGGAATAACAGAAGGCTGTAATATGGCCTATATTCCACATTTATCTCCAGTGACTGGAACGGGAACCGCATAAAGTGCAGTAGATAATAATGCACTTATTTAATCTCGAGTTCTTTTGCATGGAGTTAAAGAAGCATCATCATCATCATCATCATAAATTAATAATAATAATAATAATAATAATAATAATAATAATAATAATTGCATCTAGTTATTTTATGTTCATTTCATGCAACATAGTATTTTTCTTTACTCATATTTCCAACTTATAATGATTCCTATAAAAGATACTAAAGCCATCTCTTAATCACAGCTACTTCCTTGGATTTGACCGGTGGCCTCCGGCTTCGGTTTTCTCCACCGGCATTCGTTGTACGCTTTGGTTTCACGGGTGGACCAGCGTTTGGAATCTGATTAGACATTATCTCTTTCAGAGGACTGCTTGTGCTTGGGCTGTGATTCTGCTCCACAAATGTGGGGCTCTTAACCTGGATACATTTTACTTCTTCTCCCTCTGAAGTTTTCTCAATTGTCTGAACCGAGTTTGTTTCCACATTCAAGTCCAGAGCTTGCTTTCGGGTCTTTGGAGAACCATCTGAATCCGAAGATGAAGGATCAGTCGTGCTGTCCATGTCGTATAGTAGATTATCGGCCAGTATTGGTTGACTTTGTGGTTTTGAATAGGTTGATGAGAAAGAGGATCTCTTGAGTCTTGTAAGATTCACCACCTGCTCATAATTATTCATCCACCGGACAAGAAATGAATCACATTCTTGTTGGGAAAAATGATTGCTTGTTATTTATTTGCTTCTTCACCTAGAAAATGAGAACAAACTTTTTTCATTTTTGGAAAACAGGAGACCTCTGTTCCCATAACTTGATTACTTTTGTTTATTTTGAAAAAATGGATCATACCACAATTAGCACGTAGTCTTACCTTCTGTTCAAGAGTTATTATGTCCTTTCGAAGCTTGTTGATGATCATATTCTTCCTGCGTATGATATCTTCCAGTTCTGCAATCCTCTGAAAATTAGGCAAAAGAAACCCAAATAAATAACTTGGAAAATATTTAAATTTTATTTTGTATCTCAGACCGTCAAGAATATTACTACCTTCGACCCTAAAACTTCGGATGACCGGATATAGGTAGACAGTTCCTTGATCGTGATATCCTTCTCTTCACATTCCTTTCTCAGGATACTGACATCATGGTCAAAAACCAAACTGTCCAACTGCAAGAACAGTTCATGTGGTAAACACAAACAGGACAAGCGTATCTCAATGCATAGCAGTATCAATATTAAGAGTATTTTGAAAAGCACCATAAGTTAGCTTATTGCTTGCTTACAAGCTTTTGTATACAAATAAACTTGGTTTGATAGGCGAGTCTTTTTAAAAAGCTCCAGCTTATCTCATAAGTTTCTTTGGGTAGCTTTTCAAATAAACTCGTTGAAGTTTTTATTTCATTTGCTAATTTTACCGAACATTTTTATCATATCAACTAACTTTTCAGCTATTAGCTATACAACAACAACAACATACCCAGTATATTCCCAACAGGTTGGGGTTTGGGGGGTCAGTTGTACGCAGACTAAGCCCTTGTAATTATACAAGGAGGTTGTTTCCGTAGCGACCCAAGGTGCATTGCGCCGATTGATATTTTTATTTTCTAGAAACTTCACTAATAGAAGAAGCACTAGAATTTAATTGAGCCATTTTGATCTAGTCCATTATTAGCACTATGCCAGGAGAATTGTCAACAATGACTCTTCCAGCTCCATTTGCAATGGACACAGCTCCATTTCCAACAATGACTCTTTCAGCTATTAGCTATAAAGCTTGAAATTCAAGCTATCGACTAACTTATCAGCTAGATTTACCAAACACAACCTAATTTGAGTTTACGCTCAACAACAATTCATGTTATCGAGCAATGCCATAATAAGTTTTGAATTAAGTTCAAGATACACAAGCTTTCATGTCACCTGTTTCTTTGTTTCTTTCTGTTTTCCTTTTTAATTTCCCGACACATAAGGCACACAACTGGACAGTCTGTTAGTGGATACTACAAGCCGTGAAGAACTTCTAAGAACATAAACAACAAGAAATAAAAAAAAGCACAATAATTCGATATCAAATTACTATGAAGAAAAAGAAAACGGAAACAGCAAACTTCAACTACTACCAAACATGGAAATACCTGCATATCAAGAGATGAAGTGACGCTAGGTGCCCAATCTGACAAATCAGACATGCGCCGTTCATCTGGCTTCAACTCAAACTCAAGCATCTCATCCCCAGTTAGTTCTTTGGATGGGGTACTGAACTGTATTAACAGAAAAAGAAAACCGAAAAAACGGCAGCATCATCAAGAATTAGTTAAGAATATATAAGTGTACGAATGAACAATCTTTTGTGTTATCGTGTCTGCACACCTTACAAGCACAGTCTTCCCTTTGGGTTACCAAGACATCGCCTTCTTTTGGAACTCCAGGCAGATCCTTGGAATAATTTACCTGCTCGCATAAATTATCTAGCTTTTGCTGCATGTTTATGAGTACTTGGTCCTGGAAACAAATTTATTGTTTACAGATTAAAAAGAACAAATTGGATTCATGCCTTGCAAAATCCACATAAATCTAAAAAACAGTTTGTGAGAGTGAACTGCACATCTAATGATCCAACACTAGAATAATTTAAAAAATGTGCTTTACTACAAAAATAATAGTTCAAATACACCATATATTATGTAAATTGTAAAGCATACTATCAGAAAACAAATTCATTATACATGAAGTACAAAATGCAGAGCCCGGCGCAAGACGTCGCGTTGATTAAATTTCAATTAGGAAAACAACTCGTTGCAAATGATTCTAGAATGTAATCAAACGCCACAATTAACTGGAATTAACAAATGCTGCTAAACAAAATTAGCCGTATTCGCTGGACAAAAATATTAAAACCCTCGACAAATAAATGAGGGATTTATAGTTGAACTACCAGTAATTTCCAGAATTTATGATATCAAAACTGATTTCTCAATAACCGACATTTAGTTTAATTAATCTACTGCAATAAGCGTTACAAAGCAATTGAAGATCAATGAGGACAGAGCAAACCCTAAGTTCGACGGATCTTTGCAGCTTAGAAATCTGCTTATTCTTCTCAGAGTTCCCAGCCGCCGCCGCAGCAACAGCCACCGTCAGAACCCGCTGCATCGGCGTGAACAGCTCCCAGGCCGCCGCCTCCTTCGCGCCGAGCAGGCCGCCCGGGTCGATTGTCTTGGCCGAGCTGGCTTCATCGGCTCCGACGAGCCGGCCCTGAAGGGAGACCCAAGCCAGCTGCCTTTTGGCTCTGACCGGCTCATTGGGCGGCGTGAAGCAACTCGAGAGCCGGCGTGTAGCGGGTGAGGCCGAGTGGGAAAATGGGGTTAGAGAGACCATTGACGGGGGAAAGCCATAGCCGGAACCGAAACCGTGTTCGTCGTCGTCGAAGTCCATTGATTGTGTGTTGACGGAGGAATTATTTTGGAGGAAATTTATGACCGTTTTATTTCATTTCCCCATATTTTTTTCCTTTATGGGGAATGGAAGAGTATTTTTGTTTGCGAATTTGAATTGTGTAATTCAAATTTGTGGTTTAGGGGGGAGACTGTGTCACGGGTAAATACAACTATAAAAAAACAAATTGCATGTTAGATAAAAATTAAATAAAACAAAAATTTACTGGTATTTTTTTAGGAACTATTAAAATAAAATAAACATACTGTAATAAAAACTAGAGAGAAAGAGAGAGAATAGAGAAAATGTATTCTCTTAGGTACGATTCTCATTATAACTGAAGATCCTATTTATAGGAAACTTCTGATGGCACAACTCGTAATAATACAAATACATCGAGGGCAAAATAGTCATTCACATACATTATTTTATTATTTCATAACACTCCCCCTTGAATGACTATTTTCTAAACATATTTTAACTGATTTGAACAAAGCCCAATCTGCACATCTTCTAGTGTATCTTGTGGCCATCAGGTACCGTTGCTTCAACACGTCAGGAAAACCCAGTAGGACAAAACCTGATCATCTTGAAATCATAACATTGTTTATTCAGGAAAACCCAGTGGGACAAAACCTGAGCATTGTGGAAGCACAACATAGCTCCCCCTCAAATAGATCATCTTTAGTGGAATATCCATATGCTGCCTCGTTAAAACCTTGTCAAGAAAACCCAGTGGGAAAAAACTTGATCGAAGGAAAAAGAGTACAGCTACTCCAGTATCTCTTATCATCGTGAAGAATCATATCATTTATCCAGCAGTCCTCATCATATCATGAATATGCCTTGTTAAAAACTTTATTAGGAAAAACCCAGTGGGACAAAATCCTAATGAAGGAAAAAGAGTACACTATTCATGTGAATACGCCATCCTTGTTGCCTCATTAAAAACCTTGCTAAGAAAACCCAATGGGACAAAACCTTAACCAAGGGAAAAAGAGTACAACGCGTATTTCATATATTCACCATAATAATCTTTCCATAATTTGCATGAGTATCATATAAATTCTTTCGGATTTGTAGATACTGATGGTATTCACGACAATATGTCATATCATGCTTTGTGCAATTTTTATTCTTAAACTCATTCTCATCATCAATTGATTTCAATGGTCTTATTGCCAATAATTCCCAATATTCACATTTCAGCTGATTTCATTTTCGACAATATATATATATATATATATATATATATATATATATATGCCTTATTTCATCACTTACTTGGGGGATTTTAATTTGCACAATACCGACGCTTCCAGCGTATTATTCCATTATCACATCATTTCATATATTTCACCATCATCAGTATCATATAGTTTATGATTTGCACACTTTCAGTGTGATGCATATATTATTTCCAAATTTCAATCATTGATTCTCCCTCTCATCTTAACAGATCCCTGATCTGTATTTTCAGTATTGAATTTCTTGAGGGAGTTCATTTAGTCTCCAATTTGTTCTCGATTTCAACATATATTTGGAAGATTTTGAACTCATATCATTTGTAATGTGCACATTTTTCTTTCAAGAGTTCATCATATCAGGTGAGTATATTACTAGCTTCATCACTTTCATATGACACTTATTTTCATTCTTTCATAATCATATTGTGTCATCCTTAGATCAAACCATCTCGTAAATTCAGGTTACATGTCATGTACACATTCTTTGATCAAATCATCTCGTAACTTCAGGTTACGAATCACACACATGTGGCTATCTAGTGGATCCATAATATCTAGTAGCACATATGGAGGGGTAGTGGGCCCATATATATCGTACCCCTTTCATATTCAGATTGATCATATATCGATTCACAAATATTTAGCTAGTAATATTTTTTACCAATCGGGAACAAACATCTCATATCACAAAGAATAAGTTCATCATGCAAACCATCATCAATAATATCGGTAAACATTTTTAAAGTGATCACAATAATTCGTTGTGACATGTTTATCACAAACATCTCACATCATCTTTCGGCGGCAATAAATGCACTTTAAGTGTAGGCTCTGGTATAATATCTTTTAACCACTGTTTAAATCCAGAATCGTATCATGCTGTCTGACACACATACTTTTGAACACTGTTTAAGTCCAGAGTCGTATCTCATACGCATCATATTTTTTTCTATAAATTATCAGGTAATTCATTCAATTTTCTTTAACAAAGGTCCGAATTTACAAATGGATTTAGTACTCTCAAATATCCGTAAATATTATTCTTTTCTTCCGAAAAATATCATAAAAAGGATTTATCGATCTCGATTAGAAAGATTGAGGATGCTAATGAATAATGGTATTCCAAATGATGTTCGATGGTTGATCGAAGCACAAGTTCGATTGTCTGGAGAGTTTCCAAATTCATATAAATATATGCCAGGTATGGGTAAAAGTACTTATGCAAAGAAACGAAGAGCAAAAAGGTTAGGTGGATGCTTCAAATGTGCTCGATGGACTTGTGACACACGATGTATATCTGTGGGGTACGTGTCCAAAAATCGAGAAGATTAAATAACATTTATAAAGGATGGATTGAGTAAGGAGTCTTTGGATCAAACGATTCAACAGATTCTTGAGACACATCCTAGTGGATATGTGCATCGTGAGCTTATGTCTTTATGGACTCAGTTCAAAAGTGAAGAAGAACGTTATAGTCTCAAAAATATTATTTCAAAAGATCAAGTTTGTAAAACTGGTCTTGTTAGTACGAAAAATCATACTAATACAGTTTAGTATGTTGTACTTGTAGTTTTCTAGAAAAACTTATAGTTGCCGACAGATAAGATTTATTTAAAACCCAACACCTTATCTGTCAGTTGCAATTGTCAGAAGAAAACAGTAAAATTATTTATTGCTTTGTAAAACTTTCTATTTAAATAGCGAGTCGTTCATCATAATCATATGCCTCACAAAGTTTTGAAAAATTCAGTTTATCAATAAATAGATGGATGTTTCAGAGTCTTCGCAAGGTAATAATTTTCTTCAACCGATCAAAACCATATGTGTTCTTGGTGGTTCTAAACTGGTAAGTTTTTCTCAAACTATTGATATTGTAAGTCAGTTAGTCAAAGAGATGGGGAATCAAAAAATCAATTTGCTGTATGGAGGGACTAGCAATACTTTCTATGATAGTCTCTTAATAGCTGGACAATGTTTTGAGATAGAAGTGAAAAGTATCATACCTTTTCGTAGAGCTTCAACAAAGGTCGTCAAGGATTCCACAAGCATGATGTTAACTCATTCCATTCATGATTGTATGATGGATATGGTGAACAATAGCGATGCTTTTATCATTCTTCCAGGCGGGTATGGAACGCTAATGACAATGTTCACCATTGCTTTATGGGCAGAATTGAAACTTCATAACAAGCCCATAGGTCTATTGAACTTTAATAACTTCTTTCATGGTTTGCTTGGATTTTTAGACATAGGAGTATATCAAACCTTTATATCTCCTTCAATGAGAGAAGTATTCAAATCTGCTGACACGTCTGCTGAACTTATCAAAAAGCTTCAAGAATGCATCACATTTCAAGATTCTGTGGAAACACAAGGGGTCAAGCGAAAAAGAGCTTTTGATCCTTTAGATCTCTCATTATGAACCTAGATATTATTCAAATATGAACCCAGATATCATTCATGGGTGGCAGAGTTACGGAGTTTTACACTCTCGAGACGCACCCTTCTTTTATGGGTTCTATTATGTAATCTTTGCGTATTTTGTATTCATCGAGTATTTACTGCCTCTTTTCCATATTTCCACCATCTGAACATTTTGTACTTGTTTCGCAGTAATAATAATATCAATTTCGATTTTTCTCAGTGTATAGTAGTTCATGACTACAATCATTATCGTTTGTGCTTCTTCCGGAGCACTTTATTGTAATATCTCGTATCCTAATGTGATCTCGTCATCTGATATAGTCCCTTAGACTTATATAATATATTGAGAAATCATTTTGTGTGATCACCCACAACTGGCATCTTTTGGCACCATTTTCTCATTTTGTTCAATCATCCAATGGTAGCTTCTGGTACCATTTCATCACTTTGTTTAATCATAGCGTGATAGCTTCTAGTACCAATATACCAGATATCATTTAATCATTAAGTAGTAATTTCTGGTACTACTTCATCAATATTCATTTCTCCGTCTATAAATTTGGAGAATTTATCAACTTTTTGTTCAGGATCATGTTAGTCCATATAATGTCCGTTTATGATAAGGACTTTAATTAACTTTCACATGGCTAGATACAAAGTATTATTTATTTCACTTATCGGCTATCACTTATTAGTACCGCTTGTCGCCAGCGGCAGAGCCGCACTGGCCGACCCATGTGTATATATAGCCATTCATTTGTTGCACGTAGCCTTGCCACCTGGCCATTCTATATCACCGGCTATCATTAATAAATACGCTTATCGTTTGGCCATCACCGATCATCATTATTCAATACACTGACCGGTTCACTTAGTTGTTCAAATCTTATTTCGGTGGATACACTGCTCAGCCATTTCGCATGTTTTTTCATATTTCAACAGTTGACCCGTCGGCTACCATTAAATATCACCTGCCGGCGGCAGAGCCGCACTGACCGGTCTATGTAGCCACACCTATTTATTTTCATATCACAAGGGTCAATCCACATATATCCACATGTTCCACGTACCAAATAATTTTCACAATATACTAATTCAAACATTTTATAATCATATAATAAACCATATCAATATTGGTCTTAAATCGAAGCTATCGTCAAATAGAGTAGTATGCATTTAATAAAAATATATTTTGATAATTCTTGCCTTTTATATTTGGCAAAACACCATTTTACAATTAAATCAATCAAGTAAATATTTTATCAATTTTTCTTTGTGGGTGCAATTGATCTCAACCGTTTTTGTTTTACATAAAATGACCACGAGATGAACAAATAGTGAAGGGGCCCTCATTTAATAATCATCCTAACACATTAAAGGAGGTACTATTTGTCTTGTTGAAACATATTAAATGAGACTTATCATTGCTCATAAATTTGGTGGCAATTGGATTTTAAGACAATGAATCATTTTGTAAACATGCCGACACCAATTTCTTCTTCGTGTTCAACATTTTCAATGTTCCTAGTTTCATGAATTCTTATTTATAAATTTCACATTCCTGCCGACAATCATTTTTCATACCTTCTATTATTATGTTTACCATACAAAATAAAAGTAGAATTCCAATTGTTACATACCTGCAAACCTTTTTTTTTTTTCTTCGGCATACCTTCCTTCATCTCCATATTTCAGGAGTTGTTATCATTGTTTCCAAAAACACACCAGTGCTTGTTGTTCCCGCTATTTCATCAAAATAATTTGCAATTCTTGCATCTGGACCATCCAATTCCTGGAGTTTAGCTCGTAGATAATTCATCTAATGTCATCTCGAATTTCTGATACAGAGGTTCGTCTATAAGACGCAACTGTAGAGCATACTCTTCTTATATTACAAATCGAGCTCTAGAGGGCAGAGACTCGTGCTGATAACGTGTAATAAAAACTAGAGAGAAAGAGAGAAAATAGAAAAAATGTATTCTCTTAGGTACGATTTTCAGATAACTGAAGATCCTATTTATAGGAAACTTCTGATGGCACAACTCGTAATAATACAAATACATCGAGGGCAAAATAGTCATTCACATACATTATTTTATTATTTCATAACACATACAACTATATTTGTAGGATCATGATCCCCTCATTCGGAAAGGTAAATAATTTTTTTACATTTGAATTTGAAATTCTTTTATATTTTGTCCATTTGCAATTAGCAAGTCTATATGTACTATTTTAAAAAATTAGTTCCCTATGTTTGACCCTCGTTCAATTTGGTACCATTATTAAATACGGTAGGCTAACTTAAAAATTTAACCAATTTTGGTCCATCAAACATACTAGCCAAAATTAGGCGTTGAGCATTATAAAATTTGACATTTATGCAACAGTCATATATTAGCAAAATTTTCAGTTTCGGTTTTTTATTTTACCATTATTCAATTTTCCATCAACTTGTACGTCAATTTTGGTATGTTCAAATATAATGTTTTATCGATTTCGGTTCACTAATCACACTTGATTCCATATGCGGTGGGCATGACAAGATAACATTTGTCCATGTCGTTTGGCCTAAAGGTGATGTGAATAATAAAAGTTACTTTGAATATTGAATATATATGTATTTTTAGTATATATGTTGTATGTGTAAAACTTACTCTATTTGTCCAATGTATACTATTTGTATACCGTACTCTATTGTAGCTATTATGAGCTATTCTTTATACTTTGGGCATTGCGGGTGTTCACGGTCGACCGCCAACAATTACGTTTACGTTTATTATGGCAGTTTAATCGGGGATTAAACTATAATTTATCATAAAATTATAGGTAATATTTCAACTGAGGGTGATACGAAAAGATTTGCGAAAAATAGAAAATATGCTGAAGAAATAGACAAGACACTAATTTTTTCGATCTACTAGGGAGATCCTCAAGGAGAGCATTTTCTCCGAAATTTCATTGAAATAGTGTATGAAAGCTTTTTATATGATGGTATGTGATGTGTTTGTTGCAATAGCGATGGTTCTAGTCAGGATCGAAGAGGTCGATTTTATACTAAAAAAGATAAGAGCGTAATAAATGTTAGTGCCAGCTAGGAGCGTAGGCTTGCGCCCTGTGTATTCATGCAAGTTTCAACTTTTGAGGACATGATTTGGGCGGTCGCTTTTATAGTTCTTCATTCACACGGAGATGAGATTGGTGAAACTACAGTCTTAATGTTTCCAACTACAATCCCTTTCAAAACTACAAACTACATAAATTTGTTTCCATACAGTCTCAATGTTTCTAACACACTATAGTTTCAAACACTATAGTGTTTCCAACACTATAGTTCAATATTTCCAACTACAGTACACTACACACTACAGTCTCAAGCACTACAGTTTCAAACTACAGTACACTACAGTCTCAATGTTTCAAACGACAGATTTATTTCAACACTACATTTGTTTCCGTACCGTCTCAATGATTCCAACACTACAGTCTCAATGTTTCCCACTTGTACACTGCACACTCTAGTCTCCCTTTTTCCAACTATAGTACACTACACACCAACACTATATTCTCAATGTTTCCAACTACTGTACACTACACACTACATGTTCCCCACTTGTACACTACACACTCCAGTCTCAATATTTCTAACTACACTACACTACAGTCTCAATGTTTCCAACTACAGTACTCTACACACTATTGCCTCAAACACTACAGTGTTTCCAACACTATGGTCTCAATTTTTCCAACTACAGTACACTACGCTACCGTCTCAAACACTAAAGTTTCCAACTACAATACACTACAGTCTCAATGTTTCCAACGACACATTTATTTCAACACTACAGTCTCAATGAAATTACAGTACACTGCAGTCTCAATGTTTCTAACGACACATTTATTTCAACACTATAGTCTCGATGTTTCCAATGTTTCCAATGACACATTTTTTCACACTATAGTACTCTACACACTATTGCCTCAAACACTACAGTGTTTCCAACACTATAGTCTCAATTTTTCCAACTGCAGTACACTACGCTACCGTCTCAAACACTAAAGTTTCCAACTACAATACACTACAGTCTCAATGTTTCCAACGACACATTTATTTCAACACTACAGTCTCAATGAAATTACAGTACACTGCAGTCTCAATGTTTCTAATGACACATTTTTTCACACTATAGTCTCAATAGTTCCAACACAAAATTTGTTTCAACATAAGATACTCAAACTTCGCTAAATCATTTTTTAAAGTTTTAAAAATATTAAAGAATTGAACATTAAATTGTGTCAGAATTTCACTAGAGATCTAACCGTGGATTTTTATGAAACATTTATATGTGAAGACCTCTTTTTGTAACGAATCCAACTGTATCTCCTTACCATTGATTAGATATTCAATAGCCGTGAAAACGCTCGTGAAGTCTATAATTTTTTTAGCAATGTGCGGTTGTGGGATGGATACTTTCCAATGATTTTTGGCGACTCAGATGTCCGAATTTCATGTATGAGCTCTCAATTTGTTCTTGTTTTCTCACGAGCTACAATATCCATTAATCAATTTGATATTTTAAGTGCATATGAGCCTTCAATTTAAAATGTCATTTCCTGAGCATTTTTTCAATTATCTATTCAATTGTTTTTAATTTTCTGCTATCTTTCTGGTGGCTGTCGGTCGCCAGACGTATGATGAAGAATTGATGGTATGGACAAAAAGTGATTAACATATGAATTTCGGGTACCAAACACGATTAAGTGAAACTTCGGTGCAAAAGCAAAAATAATGTAAAGTTAGATTATAGCACAAATTTTTTTCCCAAAAAAATTAAATATAAGGGTAATTTAGTTTAATAAATGATATTTTCTTGAAATATTTATTTAAAGAAGTAAAATGACATATATCATAGATATTTATTGTCATGTATATACGCGATATATACGAGAGATTTCTCCTGTAAGATGGCCCTTTTTAGTTTCAATTAGGAGTGAGATTTTATACTCGAGAATCGGAGAACCGAAAATAACCGGATCGGTCAAAAAGAAATATTTTTTTCGATTCCGGTTATTTTTTGCACAAACCGATTCTGGTTCCTTTCCAAATGAACGTGTATTAACCGAAGAACCAGTCAGACTATATATGTGAAATATGCATGTTTTATATGTTTATATATATAAATCGGTTCTGGTTCGTGGTATGTAATATTCGGTTCCTCATTTTTTCATTTGAGTTTTTGGGTTTTCATGATACTTTTAGCATGTGAGTTGCAATTTTTTGATCAGTTCTTAACTCAAAACAGGTTATTGTCGGTTTTTTTTTTCATAAGTCAGTTAACCACAGAACCGGAAAAACCGAACCGTTATAACACAGTTCGCTTCTTTTTCGGTTCTTATGAATATTTATGTAATAATCGAACCGATTATTTCGGATCAATTCCGGTTCCTGAAAAATACATTAAGAACCGGACGGGTCCCAGACCTAGTTTCAATTACAGACTTAGTATGAGTTCATTTATTTTCTTGATAAATTATTAATTGTAAAATGGTTCAAAATGATGGGAAATGATATCATCAATGCACACAATCCACTTACATCTGGATAAGGATTATGTATGATGTTCAGGAAAAGGTAAAAGCAATTATGCATAGTTACTTACCATAAATGGAATGGTGCTAGAGAATGGATTGCAATGGTGCTATACAACACTAATTCCATTATTTCTAAAGACCTACACTTCCCATCACTTTCCCACTTGTTGCCATTCATTACAGTTGCGTATGGTAAAACCGTAAAAGCTCATCAAATTTACACTTATTCACATAATTCTACACTTCACCTCATTAAAAAAACAAAGTAAAAGCTAGATTGAATTACTCAAAACCCAACAAAAAATAAGCCACTAAAAAAATTTCACTTTGTATCTAAATCAATATACATACATCACACATAGCCTTTTGGGCCACCAAAATGCTAAAGCGAACTCCCTTTTTTGCGGTTTGGTGCTAGAGAGGATTCTCATCCATTCATATTATGAGATGCTATTGTCCTATAGAATCTGCTTACCGGAGCAGGAGCACCTCGCACGATTATCAGAAAGCGTCTGGAAAGTAAAAACAGAAAAAAAATGGTTGCAGGAATTCACTAAAGGATGCTAAAGTGGAAAGTTATTGCTTGGTGAGTAAGAAGAGTTCTCTGTTGGTTACCTTTACTTGCCTCTGAAGATCCTTAATGTAATCCACAGCCAAGTCCAACATATCAGAAGTATTTGTTTGCTGAAAAAGTTCAAATATATAAATGGTATAAGATAAAACAGAACAAACAATAAGCAGATCACACGAACAAAAAAAAATTAAAAATATTAAGGCATCACCTTTTCCATATTGGGCACGAGTTCTTGGAGCTTCCGGATTCGCTCGCTGATTTTGGTTCTTCTCACCTGAAACAATATTATCTATTTACATCAATCAAAAAAAAAAAAAAAAAAAAAAAAAAAAGCAAAAATTTGGTTGTTAAAAAGGATTTTAGTTTACCCTTTCTGCAATGCTGCGCGGGTGAGTAGCGAAACCCCTTTTTGCCCTCATTTTACATGGGACTGTGTCTTGCAACATATTCTCCATAACCGATAGCTCACCCGAACTTGCCGGAAGACTCAGGTGATGAGACAGACGGGTTTGATGCCGATTTCTACCTTCATTATTCTGCCCCATCCCAATTTCCATTTTCATTTTTTCCCTTCTAAGTCAGTTTAGTTTAGTAAAATAAAGAGAAAATCAAAACTCGAACAAAAAAGACTGACACCTGTTCATCCGAGGCATTTCCACTTGAAAATCTTTTACTCTGGTTGAGAAAACTGTCGGAATCATCCCAGGCACCCATAGGGAGGCCCGTGATGTAGTCAACAGTATTGCCTCGGTGTTGATTGAAGTGCCGATTTTCTACACTGTTTTCTCCCATGCCCTTGAGATCATTCTCGGGAATTGTGTCCATCATCCTTGATGAAGAGTATCTTGTAGAGAAGTCCATTTGATGTTTGAACCTGCTTGCCGATGAAGATGATGCCTCTACACTAGCATTATTGCCACTATTATTATCACCTCTGAAGCTCCCCATGGCTTTCATCGTACCAAACTCTGTGAAACACAAACTCGTTTTAGCGACTTGGCTCGAATTACTGTCCGGTTATAGTAATTGAAGGAGATACATAATTTTAGACCATTCAAAATCGAAGCTGACAAAGTCGAACTAACTTTACCCAAGTTTCACCTCGACGTAATGCAGCCATTTTCGTACTCGGATTTTTATACTATTTTCATCTAAACTTGCAACTTATTTACCAAAAATTAAGATAACATTTAACAAAGTTAGGCTCTTTAATTTTCCATCATATTGATGATACGCAAGTCACCAGAATTCAGCAAATCATCAATCAGGTGAGATCACTAATCAAGATGTGAAATGATCTCCCTCATCTCCTAGAGATAAATCAAGAACTCGGTTTAAAATAGAGAAAAAAATAAAAAATGGTAAAATGAAAAACTTACCATTTTCGATATCTATATCGGCAAAGAGGCCCGCCGGTGAACTGCTATGACGAACGAGGCCAGAGTTATTTCCACCAGCAGACTCCATCTTCAGCTGACCACCACCATACGAACCCAATAACCCGTACGAACTCTCCGGCGGCTGATGGGGCTCCGCCGCCTTCTCCGGCGGCGTAAACTGCGAGGTCAGCCGAGCATTCGCGGCTGAGGAATTTCCTCGAACAGTATCCGCGCAGCCCATGAACCGAGAAAAAATCCTCTGCGCCTCAGGGCTGGAAGCTCGCGGGTTGAAGAGGTGATCGAGATCGTCTCCGGCGAACGCGGCGTCGTCGGCGGGGGCGTCCAACAGCGACGCGAAGTAGGAGCTTGGCGCGGACCGGTACCGGGTCAGGCCCGAACCGGTCCCCGACTGCATATTCTGCTGGAACACCTGTTGCTGATTGTTATTCATCAATTGATTCCGTAAAAAATATAGTACAAAACAAAATCGGAATAAACTGAGAATACGGTGATGGAATCGAGCGATGGAAATGAATAAAGGGTCGGGATAAGATATTAAAATATTAGAAGAAATCGGATTCTTCTTCNCGTACTCCAGTTCTGGCGTGGCCTACAGTATTATTATAATAGAAAAAGAAAAAAGAAAAAAAAAAGGTAGAGGACGAATGAGGAGAAGACAAGAAGCGGGGAAAAGGACAGTTGTTTTGTTGCGCGACAGCTTTTTTTTCTGTTTTGTTTAAGAGCTCATTTTTTGTCCTCAACAAGGTAAAGTGCTCCAAGAATTGAGCTGAAAGAGGGAGCTGAGGAGGTGGAGACGGTGGCATGCCATTGCCGGAGTTTGGTAGACAGAGAGAAAGTTAGAGAGATGGAGATATAGCGTTCGTGTGGCCAATGGAAACATAGGGGCACAAAAGATAAATAAACATCAATATTTGCCTTGAATTTGTGTCACATTTTTTAGTACCAACTACCAAGTTTAAATTTGCAAAGGAGTTAAATATTTGCCTCAGTTCGAATCTTCATACATAACTTGAGATTAGCTTGTTTATCAATACTAACAACTAAATTCAAGTTATGTATGAAGATTCGAACTTGAGCCTTAAAAAAAGTAAGTTAAGCAAAAAATTTTAAAAATTGCTTCATATTTTCAAATCTTTGGTTCGGTGGTTTGTTTATCTATATAGAATAAAATTCTATGGAGTCATGGAATAGTTTTTTTATAGAGCCACCAACCACATGATGTATTGACACATGTTCAAATTATATTTATGGCAGGACACGTATCAATACATTATTGGTGAATAAGTGTGGATGACTCCATAAATCGAGTCATCTAATGGCTCCGTAGCAAAATTGTGTTTATATAATGGCTATACATGTATAAAAGTAGTTTTAATTAATTATGCAATAAACTTAGAGTGACACCATTTTTTTGACTTATTATACACAGATCAAAGCTCTCTCTCTATGTGTATATTGTATTTTCATTTATTTTTGTCTTTACTAATTAAATAATCGAGGGATGAGGACAAGAATTAGACTAACACAATGATATGAAATAACACTACGAAAAATATTGTTATATTCCAACGGAGAATCTTATGGTAATATATTCCAATTAAAATTTCAACGGATATTCCAAAATTAGCTTTCGTTTAGAATCATTCAAACGGAAATTTTAACGAAAATATTACGTTGTAATGTGTTTTTTATTGGAATTTTAGATGAAATTTGATGATTCCAACGACTTTTTATTGTAGGAATTTTCGTTGGAATATGTAATTTCCATTTGAATTTTTATTTCCACCCCGTTGGAATCGTCAAAATCCACCGAAAATTCCAATGGAAAACTCATTCCAACGTGATATTTTTTGTTGGAATTTCCGTTGGAATTCATTGAAAAATTTCAACGGAAATAATAGCATTGAAAGATATACATAGGAATTGACGTTGAAATTCTATTTGAATATATTTCCGTTGAAATTTCATCATTTTTTTTTAGTGTATAGGTTTGGTGATTGAGAACCAAATTTTTCCACAAGTCTGACAAGCAAAAGTCAAACAAAAATTTGTTTATTGCTAGTATTAGTATTTATGTCATCAACGCAAAGCTTGTGTATTAGTATTTAAATTCATGTAATTCCACTATTGCTGGAGGTCTGTAAATCACAATACAGCATCTTCTAAGGATAAGTTTTACACAAATCAGTTCTAGGTTTATTTCTTAAATTTTCCGTTTTTTTTTTTTCAAATTTTCTGCTGGGTAATGGAATTATTATAAATGTACATCCATTATTTAGTTGTTTTACTTACTTGGTTTATTAATTGTTGTACATTCATTAGGTTAAGGGTTATAATATATATGGCCATATGGGATTTTGACTAGACGTGGTCACCAGCCCGTTGTTCTGTAGCCCATACCCGACGACCCGGGTTTTGAGTCAAAAATCGGGACATGACTCATGTATTATAGGACTTGTGTTCGAACCAGAAGGGCTGCNTAGATAAAATTGCATTCAACGAGATAATAAACGGTGATCCAGTGATCACATCAAATGGCTAGACAAATCTACATCTACCTAGCCAAACCATCAGAGCCAATTATGGCTATTTCTAGATACTACAGCATCCAATGTTGAACTTGATGAATCAGTACAAAAATAATCACTACAAAAATCAAAAGAGCAAGAGGACAAAAGGCCCACTAGAATGTAGACGTCATCTGCTATTTCTTTTCTTCTGCCTTCGAATGAATTTGTTGCCTTCAGTGCCAAGGAGATAGCCTCATCATCTACTGTAACTACCACCTCTCTCCAGTCCTGCATGAAAGCTAACCAAAGAGCAAGCTGAACTCCCAACAGAAGTGTGGTAACGCAAAACACTTCGACCGACTTGAAATCAGCTTGCCTCCTTCTTCCTCGCTGGTAGAACGCCGCGTTCCTGCACAGAATTCTCACACCGGAGGGGTTTTCCAGTGAAGAGCCTCCGATGCTTAAGTCAGTATGTGTTTGTTCAATTTTCCAAAGTAAAGAATGGATAAATCGTAGGCTACAAGAAAAGACCCACTCCCATATATATAGGAGTGAGATACCTGCCCTAAAAGCTGCCCGGCTTTTGGTGAGCTGTCCTGCCCGTACTGCTCGTCCGTACACACATAGTGTGCGTGTGTCAGAGATGTCAGGGGTGGTTTTCGCCACTATTATTCTGCACCAATATATTCTCGCCACGTGTCCCTCTGAGCTGAGGGTGATTATTCTTCTGCGCAGGCCGTTGGGATCTTCTAACGTCATCCACGCGCCTTCTCGCGTTCAAGCCACGCTCTAGACTGCTCTTCACCTGTTGAGTGCTCGATCTCCTCCCTTTTGGTCGATCCTCGACCAGTTCTGCTATTCTGTTCGATCTCCTCCCTTTTTGGTCGATCATCCTTCTACCAATCCGGTTTTCTCCACTTCGAGGTTGCTCGACCGATGATGCAAACGGTCTAGTCCTCAGCTATATAATATCCCATATCATCTAATCCCCCCCAACACTCTGGTCGAGTCTAAATGACTCGATCTAAGAGTGAATTCAGGCTGTCTTCTTCGTTCTACCATCCTCTCGACCTCCTGCTTACATCTAATCTCCTCTCCTTATCTCTTCTGTCGAGGCCACCACCATTCTTCGACCACGTAATCGATTTTATGATGCGCCTTAACTTGTCTTTCATTCCCTTTTATTACTAGTGTAATTTCCGCCTGCCATGTGTCCTTTTCGTTCAGTTCCTTTAATCATCGCGTCTCCTCGCGATTTGTGCCACTTCGCTATCTGTACCTCTTTAATTTTTTCTACCGTTGGATTTTCTTTTATCTAACGGTCATCTCCCCTAATTCTTCACCTTATTCATCCGTACCCCTATAAATACGGTACTTAGCCAATTTTTCAGCTTTTCTCACCTTTGCAATATTCTACATACTTGTGCCCTAATTCCTCCCCTTGCAAACTGCGCTCCCCTGCTCTTCGACGTTTTCGCTCCTTTAGTTTCAAGCTTTTCTCGGCGACCACTCTCCACTGCAACCATGAGTAAGTCTTTTATGCTTTAGTTTTATATTTGCGTGCATTTATTTTGCCAATTTTTTCATTTTCCCTGTTGCTTATGCTTTTCCCCAAATGCTTCTCGTCTCGCCTGTGGCAAAAACCTCCTTCTTTGCTTTCAAAAACCCTCACTCCTTTTCTCTTCTTCTCACTTTTTCGTTCTACTTTTCAGATTCCGCTGATTCTAACGCACCCAGCCATCACTCTGTCGAAGATGAGATCGCCACATCGTCCTTCCTCACTCCTCAGCCTATTCCTCAGTCGCCTTCCCGAGCCGTCGAAGAAAAATCTACAATCCCACTCCTATAAGTGTTCTACCTCCTCCCGATTATGCCATACCTTCCCCTCCTCGCCAACCTACTCGTCCGATTGATGAATCAGACGAGGATGCACTCGACCATGTCCCCCTCAGCCGTCGTCGGCCAGCGTTCGGGGCCTCTGACGCCGCTGAGGCAGCTCTCGACGCTGTTGAGGCAACCATGGAGAGGGAAGAAGATGATGTCCCCCTCTCTCAGCACTCTATTTTTGCCCACGTTGTCTCCTCGAGTATGTCGAAGCAAAATGCTCCTTCAAGCTCTCCTGCTTCGCAAACCCGCTCCGGTCCTACTACCGCGCCTCCTAAGCCAGCCAAGAAGAGAAGGCTAGTCAAAGCTTCTTTTCCTAACCAGACCTCTTCTCGCTCTCTCGTCGCTGGTTGGCTGGACACCGATGAGGTTGGCCATCCACCAAAATGGGCTTTCATGTCCCCTGGTCCCAAGGATACGTACGATTGTCCCCCTAAGGGTTGCTATACTTTTTTCGAGGTTCATTTTAAACTTGGTATCCGCTTTCCTCTATGCCAAGATTTGCTCGACATCTGCCAATGGTTCGAACTGCCTTTGAACCAGCTTCCTCCCAACGCCATCCAGTTCATTACCATCTTCATCATCCTTTGTCATGTCCGCCTAGGTCGGCTCGACCTTGACTTCTTTCACTATTGCTACACCCCTTCGAAGCACGCACAAGGGCTTTACCTCAAAAGCCGTGCTGATGTCCACTTCATTTCGGACACCCCCTCAAATGTCCCTAGGTGGAAAGATAAATTTGTCTTTGTCGAACCTGACCCTGCTTTCCCTTGGGAGCCAACTCCATGGCTCAAGGAGCTCAAGCGCGATTATGTGGCGCTTTCTCAGAGCGCCCTTTTCGACCAACGGATCGCTGTGTGGAACACGAAGCCCGCTGCGTCGAAAATCCTGCTCGAGGATGATAACCTCTTGCATTTCTGCGGCATTCTTACTCATACATCTCTTCTTCCGCCCTCTCAAAAAATTCTCGATCTAATTCGAATTACAGACGATCTAGGTATTTTTAATTTTACTGCATGCACCTGAGCGTTACCGTGCCATTATTCCATATATGATTTACCTGTTGTAGCTCTAACTTGTTAGTGGTTCCCAACAGAGATGTCTACTATCTTTGTGCCTAAGAGGAGTGCTCCTTTGAAGAGGAAGCACCCTGGGGAGAGGTCGAGCTCGAA